ATAGAAGTAGGTGGCCTCAACTCCCTGCTCAGAAGATTTGCCTTTTGTCTTCCAAGTGCAAAAATGAAGACAATACTAAAAGAAGCTGCCATTTACCGACAGCTTGCTATGTGCCAGGCACTGTGTTAAATCCCTTTTCTGCTCTTAGAGCCCGCAAAAGGGGCCGCTGCTCTGGCCTTGGCACTTTGGAAGCGCTGATCAGACCCTGCTCCAGCATTGCCCCTTCTTCACAGGATGAAGGGTTCACAGGGCCCAGGGCAGAAAGCACAGGGCGAAGCAGCGCTCTCCTTTGCCCCAACCATGCTCTGGAACCTGGAATCTGAATTCCCTGCCCAAATGTCCCCAGCCTGCGTCCAGTGCTGCCTCCATCCTCTTCAGGGCAGACTGTCTCTGGTGTGCATACCCGGAGGTGGCCAGGGTTGACAGCTGGTTTTGTTGTGCTGGCTGGGGCCTCCCGGCAGAGTACAAGCAAAGCCCTTCACAGTGAGAGGTGGAGCAGGGATGGAAGAGAAGGGGGCCGAGGCCGGGGGCTAGATCCCGCCGGGCCACCCTAATCCAGTTCAGAACTCCAAGAAGTCCTAGATTTCTAAATTCACACCTATCCTTCCAGCTGTGCAACAGACCTTGCTGCAAAGATGAAACGTTCTCTACCTGCACCGTCCAATATGTAGCTACTAGCCACGTGTGCTATTGAGCACTTGAAATGAATTGTTAATTTTAACTAATTTAAAGTTAAATTTCAATAGCCACATATGGCTAGTGGTTACCATACAGCACAGTGCAACTGCACAACATTTTTGTTGTTAGTTGCCATCGAGTTGGCTCCAACTCATGGTGACCTCATGTACAACAGAATGAAATATTGCCTGGTCTATGTCAAATATTGCTCAAGTCCATTGTTGCAGCCACTGTGCATTCTCAGTGCCTTCCAACCTAGCGGGCTCATTTTCCCACACTATATCAGACAATATTCTATTGTGATCTATAGGATTTTCAATGGCTAACTTTCAGAAGTAAAGTGCCAGGCCTTTCTTCCTACTCTGTCTTAGTCTGGAAGCCCCATTAAAACCTGTCTATCATGGATAACCCTGCTGGTATTTGAAATATTAGTGCTGTAGCTTCCAGTAACATAGCAACACTCAAGTCACCATAGTATGACAAACTGACAGACTGACAGACGGGTGGTATTCCACAACATTAGAAAAGGTTTACTTGTCAAAGTAGGGGGAAAGAATGCTATTTTACTCAACAATTTGCTTGATATATTTAGCCATACGGTAGGTGGTCCTCCACTTGTACTTGTGCCCCAGGCCCTATAAATTTTAGGGTCTGTTAAAGGCTTTGCTCATTTCTCCTTACCTCATCTGAATCACAGCCCTCTGAGGTATTTATTGTCCCTGTGTCTACAGATGAGAGAGAAAGTAACTTGCCCAATGTCACAGAATTATTGTGGGATTTGAGTACATGACTGTCTGGCTTCAAGTGCTACAGCGTGTCTGGCACTGTGCCATGTGTTTTCACACTATTATTTAA